AAATACAGCCTATGTACTGTAAGTGGACATACTATTAGACCCATAATAAGGTCTGCAATAGCTAAACTTGTAAGGAACATGTTATTAACAGTGCGCAAGTTCCTATTGACCAGTATAGTTATCAAAACAGTGATGTTTCCTCCAATTATCAAAATTGCAACCAGGGATTCAACTGTAGCATGTGCTATCAAGTCATACATTGGAAGTACAGGCTGGAGTCTGAAAGTTTCATTTGATGTTGCATTATCTCTCCCGTGTTCAATTTTGCCAGCCATTCTAAATATATTGTCAGTCTCTAGTCTTCATTCATCAATTGTAGCTGTTATTCCTCTGGCAGAGAGGAATTGTAATTGATTTTTCTTACCATCATCATATAGACTGATTTCACGCTGTATACAGTATCATATTTCCTTCATTTTATGCACATACATGTATATGTATATGTTGCTTCTGACAAAAACAATTGTTTCTATCAATAAAACATCAAAGCGAGTCAAGAATGGATGATATTGCACAGGTATGAGTACAAGAAAGTTTTTCTCATTATGACTCTGTATTATGCCATATTTTCAACTTTTTATGAGAAACCTGAGTGACAAATAGCTTCAAATTAATGTTTTGTTTGGTGAGATTTGCTACTCCCTAGATCTAGAGTTGCTGTTTTTTTCTAATTAGATATGAATCAAGATCTTTTGTGTTGTCTATTTTTCACTCATTTCCGAACCAATTTATCAATACAAAATAGCTAATGAATCACATTATTGAGTGTTAAGGTACGTTCACACCAACGGCGAATGCCACGCTTTAAATCGGCGAGCAAAGCGCCGTCATTTTTGTCATTTTTCTTCATACCAACGGCGCTTTGATGGCGCTTTAAAGCGGCTTGTAAAGCGGCACCAAAGCGTAACAAAGTTTGATTAAAGCGTCGGGGTCGAAATAGGTCGTAGAAAAGCTCAGAGTAAAACGGGATATTCGGCAAGAGCGCCAAAAAATTTTAAACTCTTAAAAAATTTTGGGCGCTCTGTTACGAATCGATTAAGCGCCGAGAGCGTATCAAAGCTTAACAAACCGTAACAAAGCTCAGAAAAACTTGATCCAAAGCGTAGGAAAGCTTAACATAGCTCTAAAAGGTTCCTCACGCTTTGATCCCGCTTTGATCAGGCTTTGTTACGCTTGAAATCACGCTTTGAAAAGCTTTGATAAGCATTATTACGCTTTGATGCGATTATGACGCTTTAAATCAGGCTCTGATACGATTGCAAAACTCTGTTGTGCATTGTTACGCTCTGTTAAGCTCTGTCACGCATTGGAAAATGTCGAGATCGCCGATTTCATGCCACTTTTGATCCAATGACTATATAAAGATGCAGTAGATTGACTCGAGAACACGATGGCAGAACAACGAGATCCAGAAATTCCAGATGGACCAGAGCATGACCTATCTGAAGAAGACATGACGTTTGTCGCACGGCGTGATATAGCGTGTGAAAACTTTCAAGCGTAACAAAGCCTAGCAAAGCGTTTCAATCCTTGATTAAAGCGTCTCAATTCGTTGGAAAGCTTGAGAGTCCCTCAGGAAAGTGTTACAAAGAGTGATGAAAGCGTCTGACCTCGTGTCAGATCTTCATGCCAGATCGTAGCAAATCTTGAGACATCTTAACGAAGCGTGTCAAGTGGTAACAGACCGTGAATAGACTGGGGTCCCCGCTTTGAACCAAGCTGTGTTAAGCTTTCCTACGCTTTGAGTCAAGCTTTGTTGAGCTTTGTTAAGGTTTGTTAAGCTTTGATACGCTCTCGGCGCTTCAATCAATTCGTAACAGAGCGCCCAAAATTTTAAAACAGTTTAACATTTTTTGGCGCTCTTGCCGAATATCCCGCTTTACTCCGAACTTTTCTACGACCTATTACGATCCCGACGCTTTAATTAAGCTTTGTTACGCTTTGGTGCCGCTTTACAATCCGCTTTAAAGCGCCATCAAAGCGCCGTTGGTGCGAACGCTTAAACAGTTTAAATTTTTTAGCGCTCTTGCCGAATATCCCGCTTTACTCCCGAGCTTTTCTACGACCTATTACGACCCCGACGCTTTAATTAAGCTTTGTTACGCTTTGGTGCCGCTTTACAAGCCGCTTTAAAGCGCCATCAAAGCGCCGTTGGTGTGAACGTACCATTATCAAATTATGTTTATAATAGATGAGTTTAACACCAAATGGTATTTTTGGGAATGCATGCACTCTTGATCGAATATTTATGAAGAAGTAAAAAAAAAATTTACATAAAATTCTGATTAATTAAGAGTTGCTCTTTTCAAAGAAGTGGAGAGAGAGAGAGCTACATTGTTCTTCTTTGCAATTGAAGTACAACAATGGGAAAATATTCCAAGGGAGCTACGTCTTTGCAAATTGAAGTAGGACGATGGGAAAATATTCCAAGGGAGCTACGTCTTTGCAAATTAAAGTAGGACGATGGGAAAATATTCAAAGAGAGCTATATTTTTGCAAATTGAAGTAGGACGATGGGAAAATATTCAAAGAGAGCTATATTTTTGCAAATTGAAGTAGGACGATGGGAAAATATTCCAAGAGAGCTATATTTTTGCAAATTGAAGTAGGACGATGGGAAAATATTCCAAGAGAGCTACGTCTTTGCAAATTGAAGTAGGACGATGGGTATTCCAAGAGAGCTACATGTACGTCTTTGCAAATTGAAGAAGGACGAGGGGAAAATATTCCAAGAGAGCTATATTTTTGCAAATTGAAGTAGGACGATGGGAAAATATTCCAAGAGAACTACGTCTTTGCAAATTGAAGTAGGACGATGGGTATTCCAAGAGAGCTACATGTACATGTACGTCTTTGCAAATTGAAGTAGGATGAGGGGAAAATATTCCAAGAGAGCTACGTCTGCAAATTGAAGTAGGATGATGGGGAAACATTCAAAGAGAACTACATCTTTGCAAATTGAAGTAGAACGATGGGAAAATATTCCAAGAGAGCTACATCTTTGCAAATTGAAGTAGGACGATGGGAAAATATTCCAAGAGAGCTACATCTTTGCAAATTGAAGTAGGGCGATGAAAAAATATTCCAAGAGAGCTATATTCTTGCAAATTGAAGTAGGTCAATGGGAAAATATTCCAAGAGAGCTACGTCTTTGCAAATTGAAGTAGGACAAGGGGAAAATATTCCAAGAGAGCTACGTCTTTGCAAATTGAAGTAGGACGATGGGGAAACATTCCAAGAGAACTACGTCTTTGCAAATTGAAGTAGAACGATGGGAAAATATTCCAAGAGAGCTACGTCTTTGCAAATTGAAGTAGGATAATGGGAAAATATTCCAAGAGAGCTACGTCTTTGCAAATTGAAGTAGGAATATGGGAAAATATTCCAAGAGAGCTACGTCTTTGCAAATTGAACTACGACAATCCAAGAAAGCTACGTCTTTGCAAATTGAAGTAGGACAATGGGGAAATATTCCAAGATAGCTACGTCTTTGCAAAATGAAGTAGGACGATGGGGAAATATTCCAAGAGAGCTACGTCTTTGCAAATTGAAGTAGGACGATGGGGAAATATTCCAAGATAGCTACGTCTTTGCAAAATGAAGTAGGACGATGGGGAAATATTCCCAGAGAGCTACGTCTTTGCAAATTGAAGTACGACAATCCAAGAAAGCTACGTCTTTGCAAATTGAAGTAGGACAATGGGGAAATATTCCAAGAGAGCTACGTCTTTGCAAATTGAAGTAGGACGATGGGGAAATATTCCAAGAGAGCTACGTCTTTGCAAATTGAAGTAGGACGATGTGAAAACATTCCAAGAGAGCTACGTCTTTGTAAATACTGTTTAACAAATGGTAGAAACATTGTAGAAGATAAATTCCATTTTATCATAGATTGCCCATTAGTATTGACTTTTTAAGAATAACTAACCTATCCTCCCTTGTACATTATAATATATATAAATTTTATAAATTAATGTCATCTAATAATGAAGAAATAATTTGTAGTTTTGCATGTTTTATTTATCATAGTTTCAAATAAAGATCATTATTTCTAACAGATCTTGAATAATCATAAAGCTAAGTAATATTCATAATGCGATCTAAAATATGTAAATTGTATACTATACATATACCATAATATATATGGGCATAAGGCCTTGAATATATGAAAAAATTACTATAATAAAGATATTTGATTATTTAGATCCTCAAACATTTCTAAAATCCCTCAGACTCTCTTATTATGTTTGAATGAATATTAATAAAATCTTATTCTTACTTTTTATGAAGTAAATCCTTATAATTTAATCCATATACGACGAATATATTAAGATTAAATTTTTCTCCGACTAGTGTTCATTCGAAGACTGGTAGTTATTATTTGTATCTGTTGGATTTTATGGAAAGCAACCAATCACTGTAGGCATTATGAATCAAACTGGGGGAATATGTATGAGATTATTAAAATGACTAATTGAAAACTATAGGTATGGAATTGTCTGTGAATTAATACTATTTTGTCTTAAAGTATGACATCAATTTACTTGAAATTTTAGGAGTAGCTTATTTATAGGTAAACAACAATATCTAAGACCAAGATGTATCAGCAAAGATTTTTGCTAAATTTCAAAGTGGCAAATAGTTGTTTTTCTTGTCTCTTTATCATATAAAAATTGTAACAAAGACCTCGATTTTATGATTTATGGCAAATACATGTATATGACCTCAAATTTAATTCTTGCCATTGCCAAAGACCTGAATCGCGCTATACAATTTCGGTCTTTTAACAATGAACAGAATAAAATTTGAGGTCATATATTGTGCCATGAATCATAAAATTTCCATTTCATTCCTTAGTATAACATGATAATTTTGGCATCAAACTGCTCTTAAATACAGGTAGCTCATATTAGAAAAATTATTCAGATTTTGCATCCTGGAAATTTCTAATGTGCCATTTGTACTCATATTCATGAAATTTAATTTTTCTCTGCTTAAAGGTAATCCAGTGCCTGTAACATGGACAAAGTTATCCAAGACTGCAGAGCAGGGTAGTGATGTCATCACACTAATGCAAGCTGTTTCCTGGCAACCAGGAGATGATATTGTCATACCAACGACCAATCACAGGTATGTCATTTGATTGAGGTCTTATCCGGACACCACTGGGACCAGCTAAAAGTGTTTGAATTTGCAGGTGTTCACATTTCCAGATGTTTGCATTCTTGCGTTCTCTGGATTCAGGATTTTAAAGAAATATATATATTAGGTTATTTGCTGGGAGGGATTGAATATGGGTTTTATTCAGAGGGACAATATGATATTGACCGAAGGGTAATATGATATTGATTGAGGGAGCACAGCAACTGAGTGTCAATAGGGTATTGCCCAAGGCCAATATCATATTTTTCAAAGAATAAAACCAATATTCAATCCCTACCAGATATAACCTATTTATTCCATAATACATCCCTCTAAAATGTTACATTTAGATAATGCAAACATTATATTAATACGAGGGGTGATCCAAAAATCTTGGATGCCCCGCTCTAACTTTGATATTTTCTAATATAATTACATGAAACTTTCAGATAATAAAGATCAACATCTGAGTGTCATCTGCCATCATCATTTTCACATATTAAGACCTACTTTTCAACATATTTTCCACGAATTTGAACACATTTTTCATACCACTTTACCAATAAATGGAAGACATTTATGACACCACCATTGCTTATGTGATACAAATGCTGCTGGAGTGTTACTGTAAACCTCATCAAATGAGTAAAAAAACATTTCAAACCTCCTTTCAACTTGCAGAAAAGGAAGAAAATCACACGGAGTCATATATAGACTGTATTGTGCACATGGTAGCTGCTCAAGGTCAATAATAGTGAAAATATCTTGTAGTTTTCTTTGTTCCACTTTGATTATTTTCGTGTTCTGCATTTCAGCAGCCATCTTGCAGCAAAAATGATACCAGAATGAGAGTTGCTTGTCTGATGGCATTTTCTTAGAATTTGACATGTACGGCCATTGTCATATTTGACATTATAATTAAAACACAATTAATTGGTTGTCTAGTAACAAAGGAAGTAAACTAACATGGTTTAACATTCAAAATTCAAAGAAATATAGTGGTCAAGACTTGCGAAACAAGTGAAATGGCGGCAACATTTAAGTCTGAATATTGCCATGTGCGAATACCGTTCCGGGTGGCAGGGTCCCTGTATTAAAAACTATCTAGAAAACTATATAAAATATATCATTTCTCTATGAAATTATTACACAAAGTAGTTGGGTTGTTGGTCTTTATTATTGGAAAGTTTAAAGTATTTCCTATCAAAAACTAACAAAAATAGAGCAGGGCGTCCAATACTTTTGGATCACCCCTCGTAAATGCACATTGTTTGAAGTTAAACTTCAAAGTTATTTATCAAAGCTTTATCAATTAGTCAAAGTTAAAAATAACTAATAGAGGGGTTTACCGCCACCTGTCCTTTAAAAGAAAAAAGAAAAGCGACAGTATTGGCTTATTTTACACCCTGTAGAGTCTGCATATGCTTAGAATGAACCTGTTATATGCATGCACATATTATATGGACTGGTATAATGATATGTCACATTCAGGCATGTATCCATTATACATGTATGTCCATTGTCTAGATTGAATTTTTATACTGTATATTGTAATCAACTACATGGCGTACAATAATTAAACTACTTGTAAAATTTCCAGGCATAGTATGGGCGAGAATGAGAAACACACCATAAAGGCAATCAGTAAGGATGGGATCACTCTTACTCTAACGAAGCCTCTGAAATATACACATATCTCCATGGTGCAAAACTTACATGGGGTGACCCTTGAAACACGTGGTGAAGTTGGGCTTCTCACGAGGAACATCAAGATACAGGGTTCAGTCCAAGATGAATGGACAGAAACCATACCAAAATGTAAATTCAAATTTGATTCTGGTAAGTTTTTCATGTGTTTTTCTAATCGTTGGATGTAACATTTTTGGCTCACACAGGGAGCCTGTGGAATCAACAGGCATCTGTCCCGTCCATTCATAGCAGTTTCAGCAGTTCACTAAATGAGCACAGGAGTCATTTGTGTCAGGATGGCACAACTCTGATCTCCACTCAATATGGCCCTGAAACCAAAAAAGTATATTATGTTATGCTATCAGATGTACATGTATTGGTTTTCAGGACAATTTGCTACTCAGTCATGTTTCCGGGGAAGGTTTGGTGAAGAGATCGGGAGTGATGAATTTGGTGCTCAAGTGATGTTAGCAGCAAGAGAACCTGATAAAGGTATATGTACATGTATTTTATTCAACTTATTAAGACCAATATTTCGACTTTTTATGTCACCACCAAAAAATGTTGACATTTTGTTATGGTCTCTGTTTTTTTATGACGGCAGTTGGTGATCGGCGGGTGGTGGTTCGTGATCGGCGAGTAGTGGGTGGCGGTTGGGGTCTGTAACAAATTCTTAAAACTTCCAATACCTTAACAATTTTTTTTCAAATTGACCAAATTTTTTTTCGAAATCATCTACAAGTTATCAGAAGTTCAAATCTGACTATCGATTTGACCATCAATGACTAATTCTCAAGGTCAAAAAGGTATTTGTTCAACTTGCTTCAAATTGACCATTTTTTTCAAAATCATCTACAAGTTCTCAGAAGTTCAAATCTGACTCTAGATTTGAGATATCACCTTCAATGACCTTCTCGGGGTAAAAAATGTATTTTTTTCAAATTGTGAGCATGCAACTAGGTGGTGACATTTTGTCATGTTAATGCCTTGTTCCAGTCTTGAAATTGGAAGTAATGAATCAAACAAATAAACATTCATGATGCACATGTAGGCCTTTAAATTATTTATTTAGTGAATGGACAAAAAATAAACTTAATTGTGAATTTATTTGAGTATCAAAGCCTGCTACATGCAACATGCATGTATATAATAGACATTTAATTGTATAGTGAACACCTTTTTCTGGTAAACATCATTTGCGTTATGACAAATTCTTTTGCCAGGTTGTATCAAACATTTCTGTTTCAAATATTAACCTGCTGAGCTTATATTTCAGATTTGGTGACGGGAAGGTTAGAATATGTTGAGTTTACACATACAGGCCAAGCATACAGGTTGGGCCACTACACTCTTCATTTCCACATGAACGGTAACATAAATGGATCTTATGTGAGAGGTTGTGCGTTTCATCGAACATTCAACCGTGCGACCACCATCCATGGTGTCCATCATCTTCTTGTTGAAAATAATGTGGCATATGACATTATGGGCCATGCTATATTCACTGAGGATGGGATTGAAGAGAATAACATAATCCAGGGCAACTTAGTGGTATATACACATGCAAGCTCCAGTCTACTCAATACTGATATCACCCCTGCAGCATATTGGTAATTATTAGTGATATTTTATTACATGAGACCTTCTATTTGCAACAATGATCAACTGTACCTTATGATCTTTACATGCATCTTTCAGAATAAGCCTTTTGACTCCAATAAAAGCCTGTCATCTCTCCACAAAAATGGTTTTTCTGCAGTAGGAGATTTTGATTATCTGTATATCAAATGTGGATTTGTAATAGTCTCTGATTGGTTGAAAGTAAGACTAGTGTCCAATCCCAGCTGATGTATTGGAGCCAATTATATCAGGACACTGCATACTCAGTTTTAAATGTTTGCCTGGCTTACGATATGGCTTTTCCACACTTTCATTAACCAATTTTGAGTTAGCACAAGCAGCTGAAGGGAAGAATAAGAAAAACAACTGTATGACACATACAGGCCCATAGCCAGGGGGGATTCACAGCGTTCGCCCCCCACCCCCGCCCCTTGCAAAAAATTATTTAAAAATCATGCAGTTTTTCACCATTTTGAGCACTTCTCAAGTGATTTTTACCATATTTGGGCCAAAATTGTCAAATGTGAACCCCCCTGGAAATTTTTGAAAACTGAACCCCCTTGGCAAATCCTGGCTACGGGCCTGGCATATTTGTGATTCTTAGGGAGCATCTCATAAGATCAATGCAATAATATTAAATAGAATAATATTATCAACAGGGGGCTATACTCCCTTAGTTCAAAAATATGTTCATGTAGTTCGAGATTGAAACTATTTTCTTTATATGAAAACTTTTTTTAGAGCCACTATATGACATGACACAATACTTTACTCCATAATACTACTGTTTTCCCTTGGAAATAAAATCACATAATCACTCTTTAAATCATATATACTCGAAAAATCATATTGTCCCTGGAAAAAAAAATCATATATACTCGAAAATCAATTGTCCCTGTTCTTTTAAAAAAGAAAAAAGTTCATTTTTTCAAAAAAATTTCAGTTTTTCATTTTTTCAAAAAAATCTCATTTTTCCAATTTTTTCTTATTTTCGAAATTTTTTTTTTGAAAATTCATGTTTTAAATTTTCATTTTTTCCGGGGTTTAAAAATAATTTTCATTTTTCCAATTTTTAAAAAAAATATTTTTCTTGAATTCTCAAATATTAAATTATGGAATAAAAAGGTCATTTCATGGTTGATTTTCAATATGGATTTTATTCCATGGTAAATATGACATTGACCTCGGTGAATATTATATTGACACTACGCTCGTTCGGTCAATATCATATTTCCCTCAGTCAATATCATATTACCTCGATAAATATTATATTGACACTCACTTGCTACGCTCGTTCGGTCAATATCATATTTCCCTCGGTCAGTATCATATTACCCTGGAATAAAATTCATATTGAAAATCAAGCATGAAATAACCTATATTTATAGGTTAGTGAATCCTAATAACATTGTACGAAACAACCATGCAGCAGGAGGGACTCATTTTGGCTTCTGGTACCGCACACTCAACCACCCTGAGGGACCATCAGCCACAAACAGCTACTGTCAGAAGAATGCAGAGCTTGGGGAATTCAGTAACAACTCTGCTCATTCTATGGGATGGTATGATTTTAATGTTATATTCTATGGTCACATTTTCCACAATTTTTTCTAGAAATTGAAAAACTACTTGATTTTATGTCATTCCTGTACATTTTATAGTGCTTATACTTACTTTTTTATGTCCACCATGTTTGAAAATTCAGAATTGATTAGTTTTTTGGGATTCTGGGTGAATATCAAGGCAGCCATTTTGGATTTTCCATCCTAAAATCTTGTCTTTAAAGTCTTGTCTACGCATTTCCAGGCCAACTGTTTGATGGATCAATTTCAAATATTCAGGAATGATTCTTTGTATGAAAATCAGACTGCCTTTTGGGATTTTTAGTAAAGGGTAAGGCGGCCATTTTGCATTTCTTTTGAAAAAGTTTTCTTCAACTGATTAGTGTTTGGCATTCAGGATGAAAAAATTATATAGGATTGCCAATTGGTGGGGACATGTTGTACACAGATCAATTTCAAATTTTCAGGGCTGGTTCTTACTATGAAAATCTTGAACTGATTAATTTTTTGGCATTCCCGGTAAATTTCAAGGTGGCCATTTTGGATTTTCCATTCTAAAATTGTGTCTTTAAAGTCTTGTCCACTCATTTTCAGGTTAACCATTTGACAGATCAATTTCAAATTTTCAGGGATGATTTTTAGTATCAGTCTCTACATTTAATTAGTTTTTCTGCATTTTGGGTAAATGTTGAAGGCAGCCATTTTGGATTTTCTGTCCTAAAATCTGGTCTGTGAAGTCTTGTCTATGCATTCTCAGTGTTTGAGGGATCAATTTCAAATTTTTAAGAATGATTCTTCGTATGAAAATCTAGAACTGATTACTTTTTCATCATTCTGCGTAAATTTTAAGGTGGCTATTCTGGCTTTTCTGCCTAAAATTGTGACTGTGAAGGCCTATTTTCAGGATAACAGTTTGACGGATCAATTTCAAATTTTCAGGGATGATTCTTGAAAAGAAAATCTAGACATTATCAATTTTTTGGCATTCTTGGTTCTCAAGACAACAATTTTTGTAGTTTCCATCCTAAAATCATATCTGTTAAGTTGTTGTCCACACATTTCCAGGCCAACTGATGGACGGATCAATTTCAAATTTTCAGGAATCCTTTGTATGAAAATCTCAAACTGACTGCCTTTTGAGATTTTTAGTAAAGGGTAAGGCGGCCATTTTGAATTTCTTTCTAAAAAGTTTTTTTAACTGATTCTTGTGTTTGGCATTAAGAATGAAAAAATTATATAGGATTGCCCTTTGGTGGGGATATGTTGTACACTTTTGTGTTCTTGTTTTCTATTGAGTTATTATTTCACTGCAGATTTCTTACTTTTCTTGTTTGAAGGTTTGGCTTATGGATATTCTCAATGCCTGGTTACTTCCCAATGAAGGGTCCAGAGACCTGCAGAAGTAAGATCCCTACAACTGCCAGATTCAACACCCTTACTGCCTGGAGATGTGAGAAGGGGGCTGAAGTGGTGCATGGTGGGAACATACGTTTTGTTGACTTTATACTTGCTGATAACGAGGATGCTGGCATGGTATGGACTGAACTATTTGGGCCTTGGGGACAAGATGGGCCTGGTAAGTATAGAGAGTCAACTCTGAGTGAAATTAATGACCAATTCTTAAGATTTTGTGTGAATTGGAATAAATAAAAGTGGTGACATTACTAAATACAATATTGCCAGTCAAAAAAGTTAAAAAGGTAATAGTAGATTTCCTATTTTGACTCTATTCTCACAAATATGCTCAGAGTGAATAAGATACACATACCTTCTAAAACTGAAAGATGTCCAGAGAGGACTCCCAACCTTCCCATCCAAATTGCTTTACCTGTAGGGCCTTCACAATGATTTTTGGCTGATGATCTCACAATGAAATGCAACAAAACTATTCGGAACTGAATTATTGGATGACCTTTCAAATTTGTACATAAATATGTACATTATTGTTCACAAATGATTCATAAATCACTATGAAATCATACACACTCTTAATAAGTATATAAACAAAATATTTCTAATTAGACCAATCTCTTTCCAGGTGTTGATGGAGGTGCCATTATAGGACACAGTGCTATTAGTGATAACACAGAATGTACAAGGGAGGGTCTAAAGACAGTAGAAAGGGATCGCATGAGTGTAGATGGCATGCACTTCATCAACTTTGACCGACCAAGTTGTGCCGCATTGTCAGGCTGCTGTAAGGCAAACAAAGGAGGTTTCTCAGCACAGTTTGAGAACATTAAGTGGTCTAACAGTCAGCATAAGGTAATGCACGAGAGTGGCTTGGGATGGGTCATTGTGATTTTTACTGTTGATTGATCCAGATTCATTGATACATTCATTTAGTCAATACATGTAAATGTTGCCCGACATCTCTTGATTCTGCCTCAAATTTTTACAAATGTGAAGCTGCATAGACTTCAATTCTCGAGATATAGTAAAACAATTTGATTGTATCATTGAAAGAGGTAAGAGTTGTTATTCATAGCTACATTAATAACTCGTTCCTGTTAGTGCATGTACATGTAGTATTTTATTTTTATTACTGCAAGAGTGGGCAATAGCTTTGTCTTTAATCTCATAAAACAAGTTTTACCCTCTTTACATGGCATATTTTGTGCTCTGTTTTCCAGGCCAGATGGCATTACCCACATGAAGGTTTTCATTATGATCTGGATGGCTCCCTCACTGGTAAAAAGGGCAACATAATGCTACCAACCAATGCCAATCTCCCTCCTGGTCAATGCACATTTGGGGGAGCTGAATACAGCAGAGGGGTGTCCGGTGCAGTTTGTGAAGACCCCATAGATTTCCATAGACTGTCATTCAATAAGCCATCGCCAAAGTCTTTACTTTATAAAGATGTTATTTTCACAAATAAATATGGCAGCAGTGTAGTTCCCTATAGGAAAAAGAGGTTGACCCATATGGAAGGATGGATGGTTACGGTGATGGACTCAGACCGTTATTTGATGACTTATAGAGATCGTCCTCAACTAACAAATATAACATATTCCGCTACCTATTATGATTTTGCACCAAATGAATATGTAATCATATCACATAATTTCACCCAAAGACCTGATGTTTTTTCAACTCAAGGAAAAGTGAAGCCAAGCAGGAATTCAATGGTGACATTCACCGATAACTTGAATGGTGACATCTTCTTCAATAATGACACTGATATCATGTCTTACTTAGGTGAGTATTACTTCTTTGTTGGATCGTGTATAGTAAATTGATCATTCATCTATATGTGTTATATGGTACATGATATCCTCATATCCTCCCTCTGCATTGTATGATTTCATTTCTCTCTCACATTTCTCTTTGAATTGTGTGCTGCAACTTACATGTACTTACGAAAGTCTAAAATGCATGTACAAGCACATGCAAGTTCTGACGATAATTCTACCAATTAATTTTCTTTAATTAAAGATTAATTTATAATATCCATTATTACCACCTTGCCAGGCCTGCTCTAGGGGTATTGGTGCAAGTTTTTAAGGGTTTTATTTTACTATATTGACCAGAGCAATATGTGATGCCATTGACGGGCCATTGTGGCCGGCCAATATTGGATTAACAGCCCGGCAATGTTCCTTGGGAAATTAGAAATCGCTTAAGTGTGTATAATTTTGGTTCTGTGGCAGTCCGCTTTTGCTATTTCAGCCCTGGGCATAAACGGTGGTAATAATACTAATAACGTCATTTCTGTGGGCAAAATAGTGAAATATTGGACCTTTGGCCTTCTGCCCTTGGTCCAATATTTCACTATTATTGCCCTTTGAAATGACGTTATTGTTCTATTAAAATTGTAAACTGTATGCATAATTCCTTGAAAGCTATGGTATTGTGTTGTATTTACACTTCTTAACAATTACAAATTACAGTGTCAGGGAAAATATCATCATCCACCTTTAGTGTTGATGCCTCGGGAAATGATGATGACAGCACACCCATCAAACATAAAACTAATAATGCAGTGAACCGTCAGATCAAACCGCGTGTCATTCGATGTTTCTACAAGGATTGTATTCCACCAGTACCTCCCCCTCCCCCTGAGCAAAGGCCTGATGCAGCTGTATTCTGGTCTGAGGCAGACTCCTGGGTAGGGGTAGAGGAGGGCTATGGGGGTTATCTAGGAAATGGCATCTATCAGCCACCAGAAAATGGAACTGATGTACAAATCTTACCAGGTATATGAAAAACATTACCAGTAACTTTTTTTCCTTAACTATAATTTTTTTATCTATAAAATTGAGTATTGGTAGGTTAACAATACTATTGTGAATATACTTTAGTATGTTACTCCCACCATATATATATTTCATATCAGCTCTTAGCAAAAATTTTTAGTCTGTGTTCCATTGCAGATAACTTTTATTTTTTAAACTTTCATAAAGATATGTATATCTTCAGTCAGTAGCCAATTCCTACAAAGTGGTGACATTCCGTTTCAGCCATCATTTTAGTGATTGACATTTTGGGTTGGTATTTGCATCAACGGTTGTCAGTGTCACCATCAGTAACACACTTGTTACACTATTTTACATTTGCAAGTTGTGGCATTTTGTCATGCTTTGATTACCACATGTTATTTTTTAGTATGCACGAATGTAAAAAATGTCATTAATTTTAAATATATATACTTCCAGGATTATGGATGGTGGCAGATGTGCAACTTCCCTGGATGAAGAAGCTCTATATATACGGAACCCTGGAGATTGCCAACACCCAAGACAACATACTCAATTGCAGTCATGTACTCATACAGGGTGGAAGACTCATTGTTGGCTTCAATGAGACTGAACCTTTCCTATTCAATTTCCAGCTTATACTCAGAGGAGAACATGCAACTCCTGACATGCCTCTCCCAGAAGGTCCAAATATGGGAGCGAAAGCATTAGGTAATGTTTAAATGAAGATTTTGTTTGTGAAAAATGTTGACCTTTCAAGTCAGCAGTTTGAGATTTTGTTATATGGGGGAAAAGGTGTTAACTGTAACAAAAATTAACTTCATTTTTTCCACAACTGTCAATAATTAGACCCCTTAGATCTCTTTTTATGATATTTATTATTTAGAAATTGAACCATCGTGAAGTATATTCACCATTGCTTATTCTGTCTGTATATAGGTGTTTTTGGAGGGCTGGACATCCATGGTATCTCAAGAGCAGTGTATTGGACTCAGTTGTCCCAGACAGCTCAGGCAGGAGCCAAATCTATAGTGCTTGTCACCCCTGTTGACTGGTTGCCAGGTGATAACATCGTCATAGCACCCACAAGCTATGAGGCTAATGAAGCAGAGGTGCTGATGATTGTGAATATATCTGAGGATGGGAGGACAGTTAATCTTAATGCATCTCTCACACACAAGCATTTAGGTAACGATCTTGGCATACATGTACTATAAATGCATTTTTAATGTTAAGGTACCTCTCAGTGCGGTTATGGGTTTAAACCTCCTTATATATATTCAAGGGAGGGGTGTTACCCTAGTGTGGAAATTATACATGCTTTGGGAGTGAGATATAGTTAAAAATGAGGGGTACCATTCGCTGTCATTCTGAAAAATGACATCATCTAAACCTTTATCTCTTAAAATATGATTCTTTGCCGACTTTTAGTATTTTTAGGAAATTCTGTAGGATTTTATGAGGGAGGGATGTAGTTGGTACATTAAAATTTAGATCAAATAGTCAATTTGTCCTTTTTTATATCACCAGCCTAAATCCCCCAATATAGATTCACTGGCGGGTTTACTTTTAATTTGAAAAATGGCTTGGGCGGCACCATATTAAAATGAGGTAATTTTGGCAAGGCTTGACTTTGGAAGTACCCACGTCGGGCATCCATGCAGGATAGCAGGTGCCATCATAGAGTTGTAAATTGTACTTACAAATTCAATGCGCTTGACATTACAATGTTTGGTCAAAGTAGAACTTAAATAATTTTTCATTTTCCTTGCCTTTCCATAAAAATATTTCAGATGTGCGGTTTCTTTGAGACTTCTATTGAACATTACTCCAAGATATTTGTACTCACTTACCTCTGGCAGTCTCAAATTTCCTATTGATCATACCTTATCCAAATCAAGTCTTTTCCCTATGATCATTATCTTAGACTTTTTGTCACTGAACTGAAATCCCCATTTAAGACCAAAATTATTAGTGATTGTTAACATTGACTGGAGTTCTTTCTCAGATTGACCCATTAACTTGGTTGCATGTGTGCTAGCCTGTTAATGCCCTGGTTGCTGGAATTCTAACTAAATTATTAGAGTAACTTCAAAGGAGGAGGGAAATTAGCGCAACAGATTTTGGACAGTCATATGTTTGATTTTGGCCATTTTCTGAGGATTTAAACAATTGCATATGTTAGGCCAATGCATTACCTCTAGGAAAATCACTTCTAGAGATGATAAAATAATTTCGACTTTGAGGCAGGGTAGATGCAAACAACCCACCCACATGTTTTTTCTGAAATGTTTTCCTAATTTTCGACCCCTTCCATCCCTGCTTTTTTATTAATTTTTCTTGCATCAATATGTTGCATTTTGACACATAGTTAACCACTTTAAAGGAATAAGTGATTCCTTAAAGTGTGCGCCAAAATTTAAAACTGCGCAGGCGCACCACTCTCGCTAAACTATATAAAGAGATTGCCCGGTACACGATTCAGAGGTAAGCCAGGAAGGCGAACGATCTTCGTCTCGTGATGATTTCCCATATAATCTTAACCAGGGAAGTTTCAACATTGAAATTGAAAATTACTATTAGATATACTTTGTAGATGTTATTTATGAAGCTATTTAGTGTTTGCATCAATCAAATGGCTCATTTTGAACATATAAAACGTATTTGTGTTTTGTTTCCCAGGGAATTGTATTGTATGTAGTACACACATAAATAGTGTACATTATACTTGAATAGCCTGGTTTACATAATATTGAAGGGCATGCTGATTACATGCACACGAGTACATGAATGAAGGCCTAATATTGATATACGTAGCTTGCATACCTAAATAAAAAATAAACTCTTCTAATCCCCTAATGTAAACACGGCGGTATACGTAGCCCGATTTATCGGGGACTTTAAGGGGTTTTAAAGATACCCATTATGGGTGACCAAACTTAGCTGAAAGCAATGATTTTTCCTATGGGAAAATAACATGGGAAATATTGTTTTCCACTTTATCTAAAAGGAATCATTTATTCCTTTTAAGGGATCAACTGTGTGTCAAAACGCAACGTATTGATGCAAGAAAAATTAAAAAAGCAAGGATGGAAGGGGTTGAAAATCAGGAAAACATTTCAGAAAAAACATGTGGGTGGGTTGTTTGCATCTACCCTGTCTCAAAGTCAAAATTATTTTATCATCTCTAGAAGTGATTTTCCTGGAGGTAATGAATTCGCCTAACATATGCAACTGTTTAAATCCTCAGGAAATGGCCAAAATCAAACATATGACTGTCCAAAATCTGTTGCGCTAACTTCCCTCCTCCTTTGATTCAAACTGGGTTCTAACAGAATTCTTAAGCTACGTTCACACCAACGGCGCATTGATGGCGCTTTAAAGCAGCTTGTAAAGCGGCACCAAGGCGTAACAAAGCTTGATTAAAGCATCGGGGTCATAACAGGTCGTAGAAAAGCTCGGTGTAAAGCGGGATATTCGGCAAAAGCGCTAAAAATTTAAACTGTTTAAGCTACGTTCGCACCAACAGCGCTTTGATGGCGCTTTAAAGCGGCTTGTAAAGCAGCACCAAAGCGTAACAAAGCTTGATTAAAGCGGCGGGGTCGTAATAGGTCGTAGAAAAGTTTGGAGTAAAGCGGGATATTCGGCAAGAGCGCCCACAAATTTTAAACTGTTTAAAAGTTTTTGGCGCTATGATACGAATTAATTAAAGCGCCGAGAGCGTATCAAAGCTTAACAAACCGTTACAAAGCTCATCAAAGCTTGACCCAAAAGCATAGGAAAGCTTAACAGAGCTTGGTTCAAAGCGGGGACCCCAGTCTCTTCACGGTCTGTTACCACTTGACACGCTTCGTTAAGATGTCTCAAGATTTGCCACGATCTGGCATGAAGATCTGACACGAGGTCAGACGCTTTCATCAATATTTCACACTCTTTGTTACGCTTTCATGAAGGACTCTCAAGCTTTCCAACGAATTGAGACGCTTTAATCAAGAATTGAAACGCTTTGTTAGGCTTTGTTACGCTTGACAAGCTTCCTCATGCTCTCTCACGCTCTTTCACGCCGTGCGTCAAACATCATGTCTTCTTCAGATAGGTCATGCTCTGGTCCATCTGGAATTTCTGGAACTTGTTGTTCTGCCATCGTGTTCTCGAGTCAAAGATGCAATGGTTTTATGGATCTACTGCATCTTGATATAGTCATTGGATCAAAAGCGGCATGAAATCGGCGATCTCGACATTTTCCAATGCGTGACAGAGCTTAACAGAGCGTAACAATGCACAGCAGAGCTTGGCAATCGTATCAGAGCCTGATTTAAAGCGTCATAATTGCATCAAAGCGTAATAATTCTTATCAAAGCTTATCAAAGCATGATTTCAAATGTAACAAAGCCTGGTCAAAGCGGGATCAAAGCGTGAGGAACCTATCAGAGCTATGTTAAGCTTTCCTACGCTTTGGGTCAAGCTTTTCTGAGCTTTCTTACGGTTTTTTAAGCTTTGATACGCTCTCGGCGCTTTAATCGATTCGTAACAGAGCGCCCAAAATTTTTAAACAGTTTGAAATTTTTTGGCGCGCTTGCCGAATATCCCGCTTTACTCCGAGCTTTTCTACGACCTATTATGACCCTGCCGCTTTAATCAAGCTTTGTTACGCTTTGGTGCTGCTTTACAAGCCGCTTTAAAGCGCCATCAAAGCGCCGTTGTAATGAACAAAAATGACAAAAATGACAGCGCTTTGTTCGCTGATTTAAAGCGTGGCATTCGCCGTTGGTGTGAACGTAGCTTTACAATTTATGATTGAAATAGTCATTGCATGGAGTGTTTTATTTTGTCATAATCGAAGTAGATTTCATGTTAAAAAATAAATTTTTCTAAATTATTGCGATTTCTTAAATGTCCTGCCCCTATTATTATTAATTTCTTGATAGATCAAAGTATGTGTCAAAATTGTGTGTGGGGTACTAATGGATACTATCTAGTCTTGATAAACTTTGATGCTCTGATTATTGATGGGTGATTAATGATGGATAATTTGTACACTGTGTCATAAGTCTTAATCAAAACAAACCCATAACCATTTGGTCCAATAATTACTTGACTATATAATCTGATTAATTAGCCTCGATAATCAGAAGTAATTTAATTCACTTGATAATATGTTCTATATTTGGTAATAAAAATGATTTATTTCCTGATTATTTGTGATTAAAATTGTTTATATTTCATCACTTTGCCCAATTAATTAATGGGTTACGTGAAAATTGAAAAATATTTTCCCCCCATAAAATGATAATCAGCAAGGTAGAATGTAGATGCACTTTGTAAAGTTTCCTTTGAAATGTTCAACAAAATTTTGCCGCATTTTCAATAGTTTGTGTATCAAGTCCCATTAGAGTGCTTCCGCCATCATGTATGATACAGGCCCCATTCATCATCGAGGCATCATCAGAAGCAACAAACGCAATCAATTTTGCTGTTTCTTCTGCCGTTCCAACCTTTTTCATTGGAACTCCTGCTGATCTTTGGACATGTGCAGCCTCCCACTCTTCCACTGTTTTAAAACGTCCAGATTTTAACCCCATTGGTGTTTTTACGAATCCTGGACAAATGGCGTTCACTCTGACCCCCTCAGAACCATACTCTATGCCTGCACATTGTGTGAATTGGTTGAGTCCAGCCTTAGCAATCCCACAGAAAGTCAAATTAAATGCACATGGTCGGGTACCCAACATGCTTGAGACATTAACAATGTTTCCTTTGGATTTCTTCAATTCTGGGAAACATAGTTGGGACAAGAATATTGGTGCTTTAAGGAAGCAGTTTATTTGGCGATCAAATACATCCTCAGATCCTGTAATTGTGTTTGATCGTTCACCCTCTCCAGCGTTGTTAACCAAGATGTCAATTCGACCAAATTCTGCAATGGCAGTCTCCTGAATCCTTTTGAGGATCCCATCTTCATCAAAACCTCCTTGGACCATTGGAAACTTTGCAGTTTCATAGCCAATTTCTTTACATTCTTCCACTGTGCTTTTGATAGTTTCAATATTACGTCCATGTATCAGCACACAAGCACCCTCTTTTGCAAATAGTAAGGCAGTAGCTTTCCCGATTCCACTGTTTGACCCTGTTACTATGATACATTTGTTGAGGAAACGCATTTTCTCTCAATTTGTATAGCTTCCTTTGATATACGTAGAATAAAATGTAACAGATGAATGTAAAGTGCTTTCTTTTCTCTTTACCTCTGTATTTCTTGATCATATATCTTTTATAATGTGTTCACTGTATATAGCCATGATTTTTTTTTTTTTTTTTATAAGAATTTATTCATTCAAACTTATTCGCAAATACATAATTCCAATCGCCCGAAGGCATTATAGGAAAAATGGACATTTAAACAATATATATAAATACATATAATAAGTCATAATAGTACACTATACAACAGGTTAAAGGGGATGCACTTGTAGGGTGGGGATAGGGGAGGGCGTGTTTGGAGGGGAGACTAAACAGGTTCACTTGAGGAGGGAATTCAGATATTGGCAGAAATAAAATCAGCCACTTTGGACAAGAGTTGCGAATTTGTTTCTAAAGGTAGATCAGGATCTCCATAATAGAATAAAGAAAGTAAATCAGCTTGATTTTTATGTTTATTAAAGGCTCCTGGTGCAATCAATTCAATGTCATTTTTTAATGTTTGAAAATTCAATTCATTATTTGGACATTTCAGAAAAAAGTGCCTTGGCGTACTGGTAGCTCCACATGAGCAATTTGGGCCATCAATAAAGGTAAAGTTATGGGCGTATAGTTGAGCCCTAAAAAGTAAATCAGCTCTAAGTCTGTTTATGATTATTTCTTGTTTTCTTGTCAAATTAAGAAAGGTAGATGGTAGAGTGAGTTTTTTGGGAGCAAAATAAGTTTTTTGATATTTTTTGAAAGTCTGAAGTGTCTTCTTTTCCCTGATATATGATGGCAGCATTGACCATGAACTGATTGCACCTAGGACTGCCGACTCCAAGAATCTGTTGCTACAGCGGATAGGTAGCTTGAAGTCAGAAGTGTTACGATTAGTTCTAATGCTTTTATTTTTGTACTTCTCAAAGATCTCATTTAGATATACAGGATTTGTTCCATTGACAACCTTGTACATGAAATTATTAACTTGCATCTTCCTTCTGTCCTCTAATGTATGCCATTGTAGTAAAGTGAGCACTTTAGTGGTATTACTACCATGGTAACAGCCTGAACACAAGATGGCTGCTTGGTAATACAGCTTATTCAACCGTTCAAGTAAATATTTGGAAGATTTGTTGTATAATACAACACCATAGTCAAAATATGGACGGATGAATGAGGTAAAGATTGTCTCCAAATGTTTGCCTGTCAGTTTACCTTGGAGTTTTTTTAGAGGATTTAACATTTTTTTTACCTTTGTACAAATCTCATCAATATGATTTATATTTGAGAGGCATTCATCAAAACAGTAACCAAGATGTTTATGGGTTGCAATTCTTTTGATTTCAGAGTTATTGAGAAATGATGTGGTCACGTTTTCGATTGGCATTCTTGGAGTATGGAAAATGACTTCGCAGCTCTTCTCAGGTTTAAACTCGAGCTTCCATAATTTGGACCAATTTTGAATTGCTTCCAGGTTACTTGCAACAGATTGATCAATCTCATTCGGATTTTTGGGGTCAAAAGAGAACTGCAGTGAAGTATCATCTGCGTATATATAGCACTCTGTGTCAATTTTATCTGGGAGATCATTTATGTACAGTAAAAAAAATAGAGGTCCCAAAATTGATCCTTGTGGAACACCGCAATTGATAAAATTGGTCTCCGACATAGAAGACGAAGCACCAGCTAAATTTACATACATTTTTCTGTCAGAGAGATAGGATTTTTATATAGCCATGATTGAACACAATACAGTAAAACCTGTGTATATTGAGTTTATATATATTTTGCAAGTGACTTCAATAGACCAATTGGGTGAGTCCATTATTTTGCAAGGGTGGCAGGATAAACAGATTCCATTTTTGTATATAGTGAATTCCCAGCGAGTGATTTCAGTACAGTAAAACTGTCATAATGAACACCTCTTAAGTGAAGATTTATGCCCAGTGAACACATGAGTCTACTCTATTGAACACCTGTGTATAGTTAACACCCATTCCCTGCCAGTGATTTCAATACAGTTAATCTGTCATAATGAAGACTGGTGCCTAGTGAACATCTGAGTCTACTCAGGTAGACGCCTATGTATAGTGAACATAAATACAGGCAGATGTCGCTAGTTTAGAGTAGATTCAGGTTTTCACCAGACACAGGTCTTCACTAGAGTGAAAAGTTTTCATTTTAACCAGTTTCACTATACTTAAATCACTACCTGGGAATTCACCATATACAAAATTGGAATGTGTGTATCCTGCAACCCCTGCAAAATAATGGACTCACCCACTTGGTCTCTTGAAGTCACTTGCAAAATATATACAATGTATGACCATATATTAATTGAACATGTTTTCGCCAAGAAATAACATTCAGTGTTGGGAGGTGTTCACTACAGTAATGATTTGATTAAAGAGAGGACGGAATGATCACTTAAATTTTTTGTACTTTTTAGACATCTAAAATCCCTTCAGCTTCTGTATTCAGTCCACACAAGAAATAAATAATATACTGTACAACTCTGCTTTACTATGAAATGATAATTCATTGCTAAAATATACCAACTGTATATATACTGTAAGATGCTATACATATTAAACAACATTTATTTGGCAGCGAATTTCAATTATTGACCATCCGAACACAAAGAATAGATGTGGATACTAAAAATAAATACTGTAATCGCCATATTTAGCGCCCAACCCCTAATAAGCGCCTACCCCGCTTCAAAAACTTCAAGAATTATGGAGGAATGACCAAGAATTAAAAAAAAATATATATCAGAAGAAATCGAATTTCCATAGAATTTTCTGTGCCCAATAATAGAGTACTTGCACAAAACTGCTGAAAACATGATGCACTGGGTGTTTTCCAAACCATACTAAACGAATACTGTCTCAAAAAATGTCCGTAATGAATGAAGGAATGTTCAAGTTCAAAATAATTTTATTGGCATTTAACCTTGAAAGCTTCATGTTCTGTGCATGTCAAAAGGTCGTGAACTTTCTTGTTCCTTTTTGACATTTCTGGACTTTTACGAGAAAAATGATGATCTATCATCAATTTAGAATAATAATGTATAACTTTAGATCGATATCCAACAGTCTCCAGTGGAAATATTGTTTTTTTCCAAATGTTGACCTTTTAAATAATGGAATCTTTGACACATTTGAATTAATTAATTAAGTTTGGATTAATTAAAGGGCTTGATAAAGTCAAGAAAGGGCTATCATTTTTAATCCAATCTGTTTTTTGAATTAAGGAGGATGAGAAAAAGATTAGGTTGGGACATGGCAGATAGAGGTTATTAGATTATCCACAAAGTAATCAAGGCCAGACACATTTCCTGCACTACAAAGGCAAACCTTATTAAGAATTATAATTAGTTGCACATGATTCAGTAAAGGAGAAGATCAACATCTCAGATTGACCTGTCTCACACATGATAGAGGACACAAGTTCTAGAGCTGATTAACTCTAAGGTCGCCATCTTGTTTTCTGGCAGCCATTTTGAAGGTTTTTCGATAAATCTTGTCATTGCCATTTCAGGAAAACGGCTCATCAAATTTTCTTCAATTTGCATGCATGATAGAGGATATCCAGTTCTAGAGCTTCTTAACTTTTGGGTGGCCATCTTTGTTTTCTGTTTAGACTTACTTTTAAATTTTTACTGTTAACATAGAAAAACATGTTATGAGTTCCAACATAGCATGATTCAAAATCGTTTATGAATGTATGGATATGTAAAGATATAAACTGTGACTGGCATTTGACGTTGGTGGTAATGCCCATAACAAATGAAACATTTTTGTAATGATTTACAATAACTCACCAGGTGATTGTCATTATGTGATATTAAAAATTGATTCAATAAAATATTGTTTGTTCTCCTGGATTTGCTACCCTGGAGAGTTTTTTTCTACATTATCCTGAACTCTCTGTTTCAGGAGTGACTCACACTAGCCCTGGTGGTGCTGCCACCTATACTATGGCAGCAGAGGTTGGGGTGCTGACACGTAATGTGAAGGTGATAGGAGAGAATTACCCTGGACTGTTTTCTGAGAGCTTTGGGGCAAGAGTCATAGTTGGCAGGTTTAAGCAGGATGGTGTTGAATATAAAGGTACATGAAACATGCATAGGGTCACCTGGGATATATGAGATACACACATGTAAATGTGTTTATATTATTGAAATGTTTCTCACTTTCTCATTGGATAAGAACCAATCACATGATTAAAAATATGAGGGTGTGCAGTCTAAAGAACCGAAGAACTAAAATAAGTCCAAAGACTTATCAAAGGTAATCTGCCAAGTCATTGAACATAATTGGCAGAAGGAATTTAATATATCAAAGATATGATGGAATACCATGCTGTAAAATTTGTTTTTCTTTATGTCTGACTAGGTCAAATCAAACTGCTCAAACAAATTCTCTTTTTGTACATGTATGTATTAATTTCAACAGATGATAAAAGGGTTGGTATCAATATGGTGAACTTTTTGAACACGCGTTTCTCTCTTATACCAATCATCAAATAATTCTAAAAATTTCACACATTGGTTGATTGGTTTTGTTTTAATTTTTTGAATACCTTTTCTAAAATCAACCAAAATTTCCTTTGTATAACTATAATATTAAGAGATCGGAGAAAATTTTGTATATGTTATTTTGTCCCAACGAGGTTCGGAAAGACATTTCATTTCATTCTCAAGTATTGGTAGAAAGGAACAAAAAACAGTTGTACTAAAAAACAAAAAAAAATGTTAACAAAAACAGGTACATTTGTACATAAAATATATAAAAATAATTTTGGCATTAGATTATTGTCAATCAGTCAACATTACATAAAGGACTGTGTTTTTTTACAGAATGTTTTCATAAATTGGTTTAAGAGAAAAGCATTTGTACAATTGTTTAATTCAGTCAAGCCCATGATTCAGTTCACCATATTATGGAATGATTTCTGCTTCATTATACGTATTTTGATGTACCGCTATCCTTGTTTCTGCAAATATATATTACTTTAATATCTACCAACTGAATGTGAAAATCAAAGAATAAGTACTAGCCTTGGCATTTTATTTTTTAATTGTCAAATTTATTTTCGTAACAACGTAATATGTTTTTGTAAAGATGCACATTTATTTGTATTAGTAAATTGCACCTTTATATTCGTTTTTCATTGGTTCATTGAGATCATGTGATCATTCTCATTGAAACATGGTCAAGACATGATCAAAGTCATCACCACTTCCCCCACACACACCTAAAACCCTTGTGTCACGTGACCTGTGCCTCGAGACTTGCAGTTTATATTTGTGAACTCCTGCTTTGTATTCGTAAACTCACATTTATGTTCGTAAAGTTTCATTTCATTATTCGCTTATGTACGAATATTTGTTTGCTTTCTGCAATAATTTATGGGTAATATGCAAGATTATTATTTGTGAAAATACTTTTTTTCAATAAAATTACAGGCAACTTTTTTGAAATTTACAAATTATAAGCTGTAGTTGGCGAATAACAGCCGTTAATCTTCGTATAAGGGAATTTAATACAAACGAATAATAAAGCAGTTATGGCACTATACCATATCAATACCTATCCTTTCCCAGTAAAAAAACAAAACATGATATTGGAAATAACCCCCAGGACATTGTTGCAATGTGTGCTATGTGGCACCCCGCATTCTTTATTCTAGACGAAAATATATGTTTGCATGGGATGGTAACATATTGTCTTAACATCCTTAATAGCGGTATGGAGCCAAGAATCTTTCACATGTCAAAATGAGAATCAATGATACAACTTCCCATGCATACCTGCATCTATTTGCACGACAAAGTGCAGCTGAAAAGTGGTAAAAAAAGTTAAAAAACACATACCCATAGTCGTACCGACTATATCTTACTATATGTAATATGGGTTAATAATTTTACCTTTCTACCCTTAAAATGAAATATGAATACAGAGGTCTTTACAGATTGACCTCAACATGTGCAACCTTGGGTATTTTTCTGGGTACTAAACAATGAGCAACACCAAAAATAGGTGTTCGATTTGCTAAATGATATGCGTTACCCTTTAAGGGCATACAAGGGCATACACATTTACTATGCATTTAGTTGTATGTTTTTAATATATGGCTATTTTATTAAAGGGTAGAAAGGTAGAATCATTAACCCATATTATATAAAGTACAATATATAAATGCACGATTATTTACTGTAGTATAATAATATGTACTGATGAATACAAGATTGTTTTGAAAATTAGATTAAACCGGAATAACTGAAATCATTTCAGGATTTGCCAGGGTGACAAACACAGAATTTTACCATACAGGACAGGAAGGATGGACAGAGCCATATGACCCAAGGTATTCCCTTGCATTTCTAGAGACAGGAACCTCAAGCCAGGAGACCCCCTCATATGTGAAGGGCTGTGCCTTCCATCACGGGTTCTCCCCAGCTCTAGGGCTGTATGGGGCATCTGGGGTACTGGTTCAGGACAATGTCGTCCACCATACAGTAGGGGCAGGTCAGTGTTAAGTTTAGTGCGTTTCCCCTAACAATAGTAAGTGTTACTTGGTACTGTTTCTTGTTGTAATAAGCAATACCTGGTACTGTTTAAGTAGTAAGTGCAACTTGTTACTGTTTTTATTTATAGCAAGTGTTACCATTCTGATTTATCAGAGTCCCTCTTTACCTAACGTTTTTGAGAGACTCTGATATATCATGAGGCAGAACATGTTCCTAGCCAGTGCATTCTCCAAGTAAATCAGTGTATATGGAGGAATAAATTAGTACCTAAGAATGCACCGTTCTGTTTTCCCCATTGTAAACTTTAATTCAATGAATTCATTATGTGGAAAACTTTTGTTTATCTTGATGGTTCTTGTTTTTATATTGAAAATTAATAACTATGATAATGTTGACATACTTCTTTTTTCTTATTGTTTTCCAATTTAGAATTTTAAACAATAATTATCATGCAAATGTCAACACTTGGATTATTTGGGAGGGCATTGTGTTTGGTCACACTCATTAGGCTTTGTCTGCTTATGTAATCATGCAACTGCAGGTAATGCCTTCCCATGATACTCATGGTCAATAGAACTCTATAAATAATTTGATTGGTCCGTACATTTTAGGGTTAAAGGAAACATTTATTCCAGTCAATATCCCACAGCCTGAACTATTCCAAAAGGATAGTAAAGGCTGTGGATCCCACAATGAAGTGTTACTGTAGTAATTCAAACTCAAATGAAAATACATGTGCATTGTGTTATTTGCCAAGTACAATAACAAACACTAAGCCATCTTTAATTTATTTGCACCAGTATAAGTAATAGACTCATCCTATTTTACAAAATGTTTATACAAATTTTTAAATATATTTCCATGTTTCATTGCAGGTATGGTCATTGAGGGTGATAATAACAGACTTTATAGGAACCTAGTGGTGCTATCTATTTTCCCAGGGACATACCAAGAGAGATTTGAAGAGGAGAATCTGTTATGGGAGGGAGGCATTGAGGTATATTAAAAAAGTTTTTTTTGGGGGGAGGCTGGTTTATTGTCTGTATGAAGGGATAGGTTATTGAGTTTTAATGACCATGGATTTCTTTCAATGTCCATTGATTTGTTTCAGTGTCCATTGATTTGTTTCAATGACCATTGATTTGTTTCAATGACCATTGATTTGTTTCAATGTCCATTGATTTGTTTCAATGACCATTGATTTGTTTCAATGACCATTGATTTGTTTCCTTGTTGAGGTTTGTGATTAAAGTTTCTTTGAAAAAATAAAATCTCAAGATCACATAAATTATCGAATTGTGGTTGCAAAAACAGCTACTATTTGAAAATTCCATTTTCATTTGGAAATTTTACTCGTACATGTACATTATGTTTACTGTATCTCCAATTAATTTTGTTCAGTTATAATGTCTTTACATTGCCCTGGAATGTATGATGGAAGCTCAACTTCCAATTTTGATGGTGTTCACTTTCACTGTTTGTCATTACTTAATTTTGAATTGATAAGCAATTGCCATGTTTATGATAGGTATATACATAAAAAGGTTCACTGTCCTTACAGGTCCATGGGGCGAATAAAGCTGTGCTGATCAACAATACCGTAGCTGGATCAGAGAGATGTGGCTTTAAAGTGAAAGGAGAGCCTTGTGATATAACTATGGCATCTCAGGACAAGTGGACTGGGAATACAGCACACACTGTGCTCCATGGTGTCCATCAGTTTAATATAGGATTACCAAAGTATGACCTCAGTTAATTAATTACTTGTCTTGTATAATCCTATTTCTTAGTAAGACATTTTCATCTTAAAGGAATAACAAACTCAAGACTCATTGTCCATGTTACGTGTGCATGTATGTTCTGGGTTCTTAAGGACAGTCGAGCTAATTATGTGTGTGTGAATGTGTGTATGAATGATACCTCTGGTGTGTTGAGCATTAACATCTATCCCTCTAGTCAGGTCGGCTGATGAAAATACCTTTTTTGGGGTTGCTGAGTTGGCCGAACAGTCTAGAGCGCCAGAACGAACTAGTGAATGAACATGGATTTGTTTGACTATACACTGTACTATTTTAGAAAGACCCTTCAAAGAAAATATATTTTCTATGTATTGAACACAAATAAAGTTTAAAAAGGAAACAAAATTCTATCATGAATTTGTCACTTTTATGGCTTTTATGGCTTTTAGGAGTAAATATGATTCTTAAATATCAAGTAATATTATCAAATAAAACTGTCATTATCCCACCACTTAGGGAAGTGGGAAAAAGTCTCAGCTGAATGAATTTATGTTACCAAGTTATGTATAGGTCACAGGACCAGAGGAGCTTTTAACAATGGTTACTCAAGCTAGGTCACATGACCAGAGGAGGTAATAACAATGGTTACCAAACTAGGTCATATGACCAGAGGAGCTATTAACAATGGTTACTCAAGCTAGGTCACATGATCAGAGGAGCTATTAACAATGGTTACTCAAGCTAGGTCACATGATCAGAGGAGGTAATAACAGTGGTTACCAAACAAGGTCATATGACCAGAGGAGCTATTAACAATGGTTACTCAAGCTAGGTCACATGATCAGAGGAGGTAATAACAATGGTTACCAAACTAGGTCATATGACCAGAGGAGCTATTAACAATGGTTACTCAAGCTAGGTCACAGGACCAGAGGAGCTATTAACAATGGTTACTCAAGCTAGGTCACATGACCAGAGGAGGTAATAACAATGGTTACCAAACTAGGTCATATGACCAGAGGAGCTACTGTATTAACAATGGTTACTCAAGCTAGGTCACATGATCAGAGGAGGTAATAACAATGGTTACCAAACTAGGTCATATGACCAGAGGAGCTATTAACAATGGTTACTCAAGCTAGGTCACATGACCAGAGGAGCTATTAACAATGGTTACTCAAGCTAGGTCACATGACCAGAGGAGGTAATAACAATGATTACCCAACCTAGGTCACATGATCAGAAGAGATAACAGTGGTTACCCAAATTATATAGAACACTAATTATTCTATTTCCAGATGCTCAAAGATTTCAAACTTCTTTGTGTATAACAGTTATGACTTTGGCATCTACCATCAGACTTCCTGCAGCATGGTACTTTCTGATAACATCTTGGTAGATAATGTTAATGGTATCATGCCACTCATCTATTCTCCACCAGCCACCTCACATAGGACATCTGATAAGGTCTTGGAGGTCTCTAATACAGTGTTTATAGGTAAGTTGGATGTCTCTAATACAGAGTTTATAGGTATGTTGGATGTCTCTAATACAGCGTTTATGGGGAAATTGAATACAGTGAATTGAATTGATACAGTGTTTGTAAGTAGGTCAGAGGTCTCTAATAGGTCTCTAAAATACTGTTATTAATGATTTGATTTGAAAATTATGTTTATCGTGAGATCGGGAAAATATGGTCTTTTTAGAGGCCCAGTATCAATTAAAAAAATATATAGCCAATTAGATATTATTGCAATGTTTGATGTGTGTTATTCTGCAGGTGCCAGCCCCAGTTTGGAGTGCAATGTCCCGAGACCAAATGGGGGAAGATCTAGGCCAGGAGTTCGAGCTCCACGGACCAAATCTGGGGGCCATGCAGGCTTTGTGATGTCCTCTTTCGAGTCTGGACCAGTCAGTGCCCCATTTTTTCCTTGGCATAAACCAATGTCTTATCCTACCATTAATGGCCATACAATTCTGAAAGGTGAGTCGGAAGAATACACATTTATTACATTTCTTTTTTTAAATGTAATGAACTTAGACATTTCTGCATCATAAATCTTACACATTTGATCAAAAATATCAAATATCCGTTATTACATTTTTGAAGGTAAATTAAGGTATGATGATCTACAATTAAGGTATGATGATGTATGTTACCAAGGGCATTCAATAATATTACTGATAATTTTCTGTCTCAAAACACCCATAATATGTACTTATTGTCATCTCCTTACCTGCAGATAATACATTCATCAGCTACAAGGGAAGGTGTGGTAAGAAGGATGATATTGCCATTATGACCAACCCATCAAGCGAGGATGCACAACACCCTATAACTGCCACTGGATCAAAGTTTGTGGATGTAACAGTCGACAACAAGCTTTACATACACAGACCAAGCCTTGGGTGAGTTTTTAAAAAATGTTCAAATAAAATGTTTACATTATTTCCTCAGCCTGAATTAGAAGTTATCTTGTGTTTGTTGTCTGGCAATGATTTCTTTGTAGTATATAACAGAAAAAGAAGAAATAATATACAAATATTAAATACAGTATACCAACTGCTTATTAAATGTTGATGACTGTATTCAGCTAGACCATATTGGGCCAGTTGAACACATTGTATATATGTATCCAACTAAAATATCATATCATTCAATTCATGCAATCCCAGTGTAAAATAGAACAATTGTTCCTTTAGTTTGGTGAATCCCTCTGATTGTGTTGACATGGACTGCGATGGTCTCAAAAAGATTCTCATTCGTGATGAAACGGGAAGCATCATTGGTGACAATTTGCCGGGGACTATATTTTCTCAGGCAGAGTTTGAATGGGATGGTAACCCAAGACGTGGCTTAGGGGACTATAGGATCCCAAGGATGATGCTCACTAGGGAAGATGGCTCAAGGATACCTGTTAGTGACAAGGCCCCAAATAAAGGTTACCTAGTATTTCCTAAACATGGACAACTAATTTGTGTTAAGGTCATTAAATGAAATCCTTTAAAAAATGCAATTAATTTTGTTTTGGTTTTATGTTTATAAATAAACATGTATGTTTATTTACTAAGTCTAAAAGTTGAAGTAAATATGTTTCAGTAATGCCCCTGAAAAAACAATTAGATGGATAGTAAGCTTAGGGGGTTATAAAATTACATACATGCAAGTTCTCTTTATGTACCGCTTAATTTTTCTAAATACTGGCCTTACGTGTGCATTTCAAAGAAAAATATCTTAACCGTACCTCTATTTCACAGGAATAATACGCAACAGTAACTGCAAGTGGCATAATAGATGGCAGGCCTATAGCTGTCACAATCTTGACCACCAGATGATGATAGTGGAGAGCATGGACCCCGACACTGAAACACGTAGAGTATCACCCCTGGCAATGCTGGCGGATGGATATGTGGACTTGGTGAATGGGCCCCAGGATCACGGGTGGTGCTTTGGTTACACATGCCAAGAGAGAATATCAACTTTTAATACTATAGTTGCTATGCAGAAGAATTATGAAATGTACTTTACAGGTTTGTCTTTTGTTATTTTGCATTTACTATAATAAATGATTTATTTTTGTAATGATAATCTCCCCGGTTTTATTCCTAGTGCAAGTTGAAAACTTACCTTCAGTCATATTCTTTATAGGAACTAACCCTCAGAAGCTCAGACTACATCTGCTGAATACCAACAGTTCAAGTGCAGTAGTTGTGGGCATATGGTATGCCACTCCTCAGAGACTGGATGTCTATCGCAATAATCTTTTCATCTGGCCAACCAACTCCAAGCTCAAGGATGGCAAGTTCAAACTTATCGCAAAAGACCCTCTTAAGCCCAACAACCAGTTTGTACCGGATCTATCATCCCAGGTTTCTGGATTGAACTGGATGGACAGTGACCTCCAGACTTTGTATGTTCTTGTACGTGGACCTGATCCTATAGAGATCCGTACCATGCCTGTGGTGGTTTTCTCAGTTGATGTTCCCCCTGTACCCCTTAATAAGTTCTATGAAAAGAACACCATTAGGAATATAGCCTTGCTTTTGAAGATCCCAGAAGACAGAATCAGATTTGTTAATGTTGTAAGGGAGACTCGTTTCAAACGTAGTGGCACCCTTAATGCAATGACAATCAAGGTAGGTGTTTTATGATATTTTGAAGAGTGATATATTTTGGAAAGAGTTTCTCAGTAAAATAGGGTAAACATGATAAATTAGGCTACTGAAATATTGCCTTGGTGAAATAGAAAATGAAAAGTTTCAAAAAATTTGTGAAAAATTAGGAATTTTAAATAGAGAGAAGAATTATGAGAGAATAATTTTTTTTATTTATTTTTTTTATGAGAGAATAAGTTTTTGCAGTATTTTGAATCTCCTTTTATATCAAATATTAAATTGCAGTGAACATTGGTGGAATTAGTCAAATAAATAAAAAATTTAATCATGAAGTGAAGAGGCATAGATTCCAGTTTTGAAAAAGATGAAAATTTTTTGAAATAATGAAAATTTTATTAAAAAATGATGAAAATTTTGGAAATAAATGAAAATCTTTACCACACCCGGTGATCGTGAATATGGGACGGAGGGGGGGAGCAGGCAATTTCTGCTAGGAAATTCAACAAATCTGGAAGATTTATTTTTTCAAGAAAAAGTTTACTATTGAATTGCTAAATGGATAGGCGCACGGTATGGTCGAATATGTTAGGTTTTCTGGGATTTTTTCTGAAATGATACGCATCTAAGGTATGAGATCTATTAAAAAAGGCACAAGGCCATCAACAGGCACAAATCAACGTTTTTGCTATAAATCAAGCAACAATGGTCTGGACGACCTGTAATAAATACTTGTAAGTGATGTTATCATAACTCAATTAATGTCATTGCTGAATTTATAAAATAAGTTTCCATATGTGAAATAAAAAATAATCGAAAATAATGAATTTGGGACGGAGGGGGGAGGGGACGGAGGGGGGGAGCAATATGTATATAAGACATGATTAGAGATGTTTCGCGACTTTAAGTCCTTTTACTCCAAATGACCCCATTTTCAGTCTCCAGGGGTATATCATCCAGTTTCTTACTTAGTTAATGAGTTCATTTTTCAAATACAAGAATTCGTGTGAAGTTGTTTCACTTTATAGAATTATTACTCCCCCCTCCGTCCCCTCCCCCCCTCCGTCCCATTTTAATTATTTTCGATTATTTCTTTTTTACGTATGGAAACTTATTTTATAAATTCAGTAATGACATTAATTTAGTTATGATAACATCACTTACAAGTATTTATTACAGGTCGTGTAGCCCATTGTTGCTTGATTTATAGCAAAAACGTTGATTTGTGCCTGTTGATGGCCTTGCGCCTTTTTATTATCGCACTTTGAAAAAGTGCTATATTGCCGTCGTCTTGTGCTGTTGGGCGGGCGGGCGGGCGGGCGGGCGGGCGGGCGGCACATAAACCAAATCTTGTCATCAAATTTCCAGGATAACTGCTTACCTGTTCAACTTGAAATTTATACAGATGCAAGAGCAGACTAGTACCAAGATCTGATTAGGTTAAGGGCATGCTGGGTAAACGACGTGGCGGCCATTTTGAATTTTTCAACAAATCTTGTCATCAAAATTCCAGGAAAACCACTTATCCGTTTTACTTGAAATTTTTACAGATGCAAGAGCAGACTATTGCCAAGATCTGATTAGGTTTTGGGTATGCTGGCTGAATTACATGGTGGCCATTTTGAATTTTTCAATTTGGCGGCCATTTTGAATTTTTCAACTTGCTCCAAATTGACCAAATTTTTTTTTTAAAAACATCTACAAGTTCTCAGAAGTTCAAATCTGACCTTAGATTTCAGATTTGACCTTTCGTTTACCTTCAGTGACCTTGAAAAGGTCAAAAAAGATGATTTTCTAAATTGATATTTTGGATTTAAATTTAGGTCAGCTTAATTACAAAACACCTACTGAGGTCTGAAAAAGTGAAATTTTCAAGGTCAAAGGTCAAGGTCATTAAACTAGGTCACAAATGATGTTATCCAAGTTTCTCAAAGTTTGAGACTACAAATCAATTCTTGTCATCAAAATTCCAAGAAAACCGCGAACCTGTTCAACTTGAAATTTTTACACATGCAATAGCAGACTAGTGCCAAGATCTGATTAGGTTTAGGGCATGCTGGGTAAACTATGTGGTGGCTATTTTGAATTTTTCAACAAATCTTGTCATCAAAATTCCAGGAAAACCACTTATCCCTTCAACTTGAAATTTTTACAGATGCAAGAGCAGACTATTGCCAAGATCTGATTAGGTTTTGGGTATGCTGGCTGAATTACATGGTGGCCATTTTGAATTTTTCAATTTGGCGGCCATTTTGAATTTTTCAACTTGCTCCAAATTGACCAAATTTTTTTAAAAAACATCTACAAGTTCTCAAAAGTTCAAATCTGACCTTAGATTTCAGATTTGCCCTTTCGTTGACCTTCAGTGACCTTGAAAAGGTCAAAAAAGTTGATTTTCTAAATTGATATTTTGAATTTAAATTTAGGTCAGCTTAATTACAAAACACCTACTGAGGTCTGAAAAAGTGAAATTTCCAAGGTCGAAGGTCATCAAATTAGGTCACAAACAATGTTATCTAAATTTTCCCAAAGTTCAAGACTACAAATAAATTCTTGTCATCAAAATTGCAGGAAAACCGCTAACCTTGTCAACTTGAAATGTTTACAGATGCAAGAGCAGACTAGTGCCAAGGTCTGATTAGGTTTTGGCCATGCTGGGTAAATTGCATGGTGGCCAGTTTGCTCTTCAAAGTGCGATATTTATCACTGTGTGTCTTGTTTAATAGATCTCATACCTTAGATGCGTATCATTTCAGAAAAAATCCCAGAAAACCTAACATATTCTACCATACCGTGCGCCTATCCATTTAGCAATTCAATAGTAAACTTTTTCTTGAAAAAATAAATCTTCCAGATTTGTTGAATTTCCTAGCAAAAATTGCCTGCTCCCCCCTCCGTCCCATATTCACGATCACCGGGTGTGTTACTATGGAAAAAATGAAAATTTCTGAAGGAAAAAAATCAATTTTTGAAAATTGGATAAAATTGGAAATATCAATTTTTTTGAAAGAAATGAAAAATTGGAAAAACTGATTTTTTGAAAAAATGAACATTTTTTGAAAAAAATAGGGACAATATGATTTTTCGAGTATATATGATTTTTTTCTAGGGACAATGTGATTTTTTGACTATATATGATTTTAAGAGGGATAATATGATTTTATTTTCCAGGGAAAACAGTAGTATTATGGAATAAATATAGGCATAAAAAGTGATGTCCCATTTTATGCTGGCATAAAAAGTGATATCCCATTTTATGCTGGCATAAAAAGTGATGTCCATTTTATGCTGAGCATAAAAAGAGATACTCCATTTTCTGCTGGTATTATATTATTTAGGAAGTGATGTTTAAAGGTAGTTCAAGATTTAAGACCGATCATTCTGACATACATTGCTGAACTAATGTTAGTTAAAAATTCCTAATAGAATTAAGAATTAATAGCTGAAACTGTTCTGTTTGCCCTAGCAAACAATATCCCAATATTGACCGAACGAGCGTAGCATGTATTTATTTGCCGATCGCACACACCCCCTGACTGAAAACTGGCTAAACCCCTGGTAATAAGTTGAATGTCATGGTTAAAACTTGGAAAGATATATAATGATCACCTATTCTTGGCATAGTTATGGGCATCTTCATAGTTTAGGCAATATTGATTACCATGGCAATGAGACTAGATATTACACTTGGATTCATTGTGTAACCATGTGGTGATGTTTAGTCATTTATTTTTCAGCTTGAGATTGGTGATCCACCATCCCCGACTATTAACACCCCACCTGAGGATAACAATTACTCAACAGAAGGGAGTTATAGTAAGGCAATTCTTTTGTATATTTTATTGTGATGTAGTATTATAGGATGGAAATCCTTTTCTTTATAATTTTACCTCTTCCTTTTTGCTAGAAATTTTAAATGAGATTGTTTTGGGTTAAAAAATTTGAATTAAAACATTGTGATCAAATGGATTTCAGAACCGAAAGCTAAGCTAAAGTTCTCAGAAATATTGTCACACTTGTGGTTTTTCATGAATTGAGCATGCTGCGTTTAAACAGGCAATATGCCTATTTTTGAAGAAAAATTGATAAAATGTTATTTGAAACATTTTACTCACGCACTCATCAAATATGATAAAAACTTCAATTTGGGTTAATACAAGTACTAAAATGAAAAAAAATTACCCGCATAGAAAACAGCATTTTTTGATAGAGTGAAAATATTTTTTGATAATATCGTGTCAACTCTGATGCGGTCTCTTTGAGCTATTTTTGGTGTCAAATGAAAGATCAGGTACTTATCAATCCATTGGAAATACTATGAAGATCAAAAGTCAGACTTCATTTTGTTCCTTTAATATGTTTTACCATTCAATTTCCAAGTTACGTGTACATCTAGTGAACACATTCTGGGAAAATTAGATTCATGTTACATCCAGCAGCTATACAAAAAAACTTGATTACCGAAATGTGTATTTATATATTAAGTGACAAACAACCAATGTCCATATTGAATTTAAGAAATATTTCACAGATGAATATGCAGGTATTGGCAACCAAGTAGCAATGACCTATGACCAGCTAAAGGACATAGCTGCCACACTAACTGAGAGTGCTCAGACTGGTAAACTTGCAGAGAACCTGGGCCAAACTGTCTATGCTGTGACCATTACAGATCCACTCCCCCCAGCTGTTGACCCAACAGGGGGAGTGCGCGCAACAAATGGCACTGGTGGTAGCCCTTTTCCTCAACCTGGGGAACCATTGTAAGTACATGTACAAGTAACATTTGCCAGGGATTTTTGAAAGGCTAACTCCTGTTTTGAAAATGATATAATGGATGTATTGTGTAAAGTATGCATAAAAAAATGTGTGATATATATATATCTTTTATAACAATTATAACAAAGCCTGATATACATGACAAGGGGAATTTTTGATATAGCATGACCTGTATTCAGGCGACATTGCCCAAGGATACCTCCCATGCAGGTTGCATTATTGGGTTTTCTGACCTGAATATCAAGGTTGAATTATAGACCAGCCCTTGCTTATCTTCCACATGTTCAAAAATCAGCTGTCCAGAATTGACAATTATACTAAGCTCTGGACCTATAAACCACAACTTACATATACATATATATTGCTCCGATGGCTACACATTCACAACGTGTCCTGATTTAGATACTATGAGAAGGTGATGGCCAAACAGATATCTGAGATGAGCAACCTTGATATAGGTACAGTATACCAGGTGCCTGTACAGTTTGTGCTGCAAAATCAACCACTCGGCTCTGTAGAGATGCAACCATTTAGTACACAGCCAGCCATACAGGCTCTAGACAGATTCGTAAGTAACTTGTATAAGTATATATAACCACATATCTCGTTCCAAATAGATCAAAGGAATAACTATTATTATGTCACCACCAAAAGTGGTGACATATTGTTATGGTCTCCGTTTTTTTGCGACGGCGGTTGGTGGTTGGAGGTTGGAGGTTGGAGGTTGGCGTCCGGCGTCCGGCGTCTGTAACAATTTCTTACAACTTCCTATAACTTAACAAATACTGTTTAGATTGACTTCAATTTTTTTCTAAATCATCTACATGTTCTCAGAAGTTAAAACCTGACTTTAGATTTGACATTTGACCTTCAATGACCTTCTCAAGGTCAAAAAGGTCTTTTTTCAACTTGCTTCACATTGACTAAATTTTTTTTCAAAATCATCTACATGTTCTCAAAAATTCAAATCTGACTTTAGATTTGACTTTAGATTTGACATTTGACCTTCAAATCTGACTTTAGATTTGACATTTGACCTTCAAATCTGACTTTAGATTTGACATTTGACCTTCAATGACCTTCTCAAGGTCAAAAAAGGTCAAAAAGGTATTTTTTCATCTTGCTTCAAATTGACTAAATTTTTTTTTCAAAATCATCTACATGTTCTCAGAAATTCAAATCTGACTTTAGATTTGACCTTTAATGACCTTCTCAAGGTCAAAAAAGGTCAAAAAGGTCTGTTTTCAACTTGCTTCAAATTGACCAAATTTTTTTTTCAAAATCATCTACATCTTTTCAGAAGTTCAAATTTGACTTTACAAGTTCTCAGAAGTTCAAATCTGACTTTAGATTTGACCTTTGACCTTCAATGACCTTCTCAATGTCAAAAAGGTCTTTTTTCAACTTGCTTCAAATTGACTAATTTTTTTTTCAAAATCATCTACATGTTCTCAGAAGTTCAAATCTGACTTTAGATTTGACATTTGACCTTCAATGACCTTCTCAATGTCAAAAAAAGTCAAAGAGGTATTTTTTCAACTTGCTTTAAATTGACCAAATTGTTTTAGGTGGTGACATTTTGTCATGTTAATGCCTTGTTCTAGATTGAGATATCCACGATTACTGATGCAGTCTGGCTTATTTATTAAAATGAAGGCCCACAGGCAGGATTGACAAACCTACATTAATTCATACTAAGAACTCCCCAGAAATTTCGAATGAGTGCAAGGAGTAGAATGGAGTCTATGATTGATTCAAACATGACCGTGCTCTAATTGAATTTCTCAACCAATCAGAATGCAGCATAGCCAATATAGAACGTTCTCTAATTCTCCATAGATGCACGACCGTGCTCTATCCAATCATCCGGGAATCTACGTATTGTATTTGCATTGTGACGTCACACCTGGGAATGGCGAAAATAACAGCGAGCTCGAGTTTGGTGTATCTCATGTAGCTCCAATCCCCAATTCTCTGAACAATGTTTTCATTTTTTATATGTTTGAATCGGAATAAATAATGATAGGCCATTCAATATGGTGAAATTCAGCACTCATTGGACAGAATGTCAGTACAAATGCACTCACCTTCGGTTCGTGCTTTGTACGACATTCTGTCCAACTCGTGCTGAATTTCACCATATTGAATGGCCTATCATTATTTATTCCTTAAGTAATGCCATATGTCGTTTTTTGTATCACAGTCAATATATTTGATGTGAATTCAACTTGGACTTTAACTATTCAACTAATTTTTATATACATGTATTAGGGACAACCTGTACTAAAGTTAGGACAAAGCACATCAAGATGGAATGTCACTGCAAAGCTTGTGGTTGAATCAGGTCTCCCAGGTACTGAACTACAGGGTAACACCACAGTGGAGTTCCTGGATAGCTGGGCTAACTTCTCAAACCTTGCAATCAACCTGTATGGCACAAATCAGTCCCTCCAGTTCCTGGTAATTAGATTTTCTTTCAATTTCAGTATGGTATGGTTTGCATTATGAGGATATGTAAGCATTAATGTTTTTTCTATCATCTATCATCCCCATTGCATGTTTTATCCACAATGACCAATTTGAGTACTTTTGAGAACATTATTGAAAAATGCCAGACGCTGCAAATTCAGTGAAATGTTCAGACTAGAATTAGTTAACAACAATGAATATATTTTTGCAGATACAGCAAGTGTCATTGACTTTAAATTCAGAGGAGTTTACGACGATGCCTCGCCAACTGAAGTTAGTTGACTCAGCTGCACGGGGCAGAACCAGTTCCCCAGGGTTGCCTCTAGTCCCACAGCCAATTGTACAGATATATGATGACAACGACTTACTGAATAGGGAGGAAATAAATGTAAAGGTATGATAGTAGCCACAATGTACATATACATGCCCTACTGGCTTGGACTCTCATAATATAGTTGTATATGAGTAGTATGAGTGGTATGATAGAAAACTACAGTATTCAAAATATAATTTCTTAATGATTGAGCAATTTACAATTAACTTCCAAATTAAATATTAGATCGGTTCAAACAGTGAACAATGTGGTACTACAGCACTCTGGATACATACATGTTACATCTGACACACCCTGTACATTTTGTATGATTGTAGGGACCTTGGACTTGTGAGGCAAGATTGCACCAGCCAGACAACTATTATGGTGACCTACAGGGTGACAAAAAGGTTCAGTATGATCCTACCACCCAGCAATGCATGTTCAAAGACCTTGGATTCTCTCATCCTGGTTATGGTTATATAATACACATTGTTGTAAAGAGTTTAGATGGTGTCTACGAATTGTCCACAGAACTAGGTAACTTTTTTTTACATATATTTAGTAACAATAGTTTTCTCTCTTTCTGATAAAGCTATTTTGCTTTCTTATCTAGCTCATCAAATATTTACATATTAAATCAAAAGTTTTTGTCGGCCAAGCAACCTCAAATAATCAGAGAGAAAAAGTTGATATATTAACATTCTTTGCCTCAACGGCTTTTTATTCATTCTGAATAACAGTTGGTTATAGAAATAATTTAGGTTTTGACATGTATATGTAACCCTTACCTGTTTGGTAACTAGGATAGTTAAATGTAAACTAGCGTTGAGCCAACTCCAAGATTTTATTCTCTTTCCTTATTGTAGATCTGCAATAAGATTTTTATAGACATAAAAGGTTGGAGGAAAATGTTTTAATTTATGTTCTTATGAGATTGATATTTTATTAGATTCTAAGAATTTAAGATGGCCAGAAGTTTTATAGGAACCCATAACAGCTTTAAATGAAAAATAATCCTAATTGGTAATTGTAAGTCTTGAATAATTAAGAAAATTAATTAAGAAAATTAGTTACTAAGACATACAATGTATATCATACAATTTTTTTGTTCACAACCTTTTTTCATGACATCATTAAGTGGTCTTATAACAAGGTAAAAAGTAGTAAGTAATTGAATACATAATTGGAAGAAAGTTGCTGAGAATTTCACCTACAAAATTCTATATACTGTACAAACAATTTATCACAATACTACATAGTTAATTGTATCACCTTTTAGTGTTTTAAGAATTTGACGTATTATTGAAGAACATGTACTTCCTCCTTGTAGGGTTATATTCTAGATTTAAATTTTAAATTGAAATTGTATGCTTAACCCAGGTATAGTAGGGCGGTGCATAATAACCTTAAACGAAAATTTGAGAGATTAAATCAACAATCAAGCGTCATTTAAATATCAAATGGTAATAGAAATTATGTATTGAAATATTTCTACTGTGATCAAACCTTCATATTAAAAGAAACTTAATGTGCGATGTTTATTCTGTTCCTTTTATCTTAGTTTTTATTAACTTTCAAATTCCCTATGATTCATATTAGATTCATAGCCTTTTGTCAAAAATTGTTTTGCAGCGTTCAGTTTTTCTTTAGAAGAAATGTTGATTTGTATTTTCTTAAAAATTAGAAAAACACCCTTCCTCTAACTCTCTGTTGAGTTGACTATTTAAATGTGTTATTTATTTAAAAATTAACGTTAATATTTTTATTATTTATTTTAATAAAATTTAAGATATTTTTGCAATTAATGTAGATAAGAGCATATGTTAATGGGATGGGTACTTTAACGAATATACAAAACACATGAAACATGTCATGTATCAGAAATCAGAATCTGACCTAATTATTGTAAAAGGGTCAGAAAGTTCAAAATTTTCTCCAATAGTCTTTGTATGTCAAACCTTTTTATGGTCAGCAAATTTCGTAAGACAAGATTGTCTCTTTTAAATCTTCCTTCAAGATCGGGCTTCGCTGAACCTGTATGAGGAGAAGTGAAATATCCTTGGACTGAGGAAGTGTTTGACTACCCAGAGTGATGAGATTTCTCGTTACCTTAGAAACAACCATGAAACTTAGAGTGACGAGATAACCTGTTACCATTTTTTTCACTAAATTGCTCTTATTTGAACAATTTTCATCCAATTTACACAGAAAATGTTTTAAAATATAGAAATGATCTCTGCCGACTGATTTCACTGAATTGTGTTGTTCTTTCAGATGGTATTGATGTCCTTGCTATAACCAGCACCCCAGTGGATGCAACCACCTCAGATGTGGAGTTAATCTTTGATGTGGACTATGACAGAGTGATCCAGGGACAAGAGAAATATTTCTCTTTACATGCCCTTAACCATCTTGGATACATGTACCCCAATATCAGCATCACTGATGTCTCGTTCGAAAGAGGTTTGCTTGTTTATTTACTAACAGGTCCGTAGCCATGGGGGGGGGGGCTACAGTGGTTTGAGTGGACACTCACTGGCCTAGAAATCTTTTAAAATCTTTTTGGCCAAAGTTGCCAAACGTGAACCCGGACCTGGAATTTTTTGAATAGTGAACCAACCCCCTTGGTAAAAGTTGGCTATGGGCCTGACTAACTTACAACTACAGTGTATGGCTATGTTGGAAGGTATTTCTACAGTTAATCGATATATCTCATCCAGATCGAGATAATAATGAGGAATGTTTCTTTTGGAGAAAACACCAGGACATTCCGTTACAGCATTCAATAAAATTTTGGGGCCACATTTGAAATGCCCCTAACTTTCCTTGACCACCATCACCATGTGAATGTATTTTTCAGATGGTTCCAGTGCCATGAAAGTCAGCTTCTACACAACAGGAGCGCCAGACACTCTATCGTTTACACATAGGACTATGTATGAGGACATTAAACGTGGTCTAAGATTCACCTTTAATGGGAGAACATTCTCTGCTTTTCTTAACATGAAGGTTAATGGGGAGCAGTTCTATGGTAAAGATGGACCTCCAAGTAAGGTAAGGCCATACTATATGTATTAAATGTTTTATTGAGATTTTCATATCATAGAGTCTTTCAATAAAGCCTGTCACCTTTAACTACACCAAGAAAGGAATAAATCATGAATCATGATTCATAGGCTGTTGATACAATAGCAAACTTAAACCTGGAAACATTGCTACCTATACTTACAACTAACATTGTGAATCTAGCCAGTTTATCCTATTTGTTGTTTGGCATTTGGCTGTTGGTGTTCGGCATCTTTAACATTTCCAAAATGAGAAATTTTACAAGTAAATTTTCTATTAATTACAATACAAACCTATTCCATGACATATGCTAATACCCCTAATTTGGAAAAATGGGCAAGTCCAAAAACAACAGGATAACCTGAATCCCTCTAGGTCAACTGACCTAACACCCCTTTATATGCTATAACTTCATAATTGTACGCAGTAAAACTTAATAAAAATACTGCGGGGAGGCAGGGTGGGCCTATGGTCATGGAATAGGTTTGTATTGTAATTAATAGAAAATTTACTTGTAAAATTTCTCAATTACATACAATCCAACCTATTCCATGACATATGCTGAATTAAAAGTAAAGGAGGTGGGATCCCGATTAAGCCAAAAGTATAATAAAAATTTATACACAAGTACTTATAATAAAAAGTAAATTCATATTACCAAAAAGTACTCTGATCTCACAAACCATAGTGATCCCTAGTAGAACAGCCACCGTCATCCATTGTAAGGCAGAGGCTGTGACACATCTGTATAACTGTTATTGTCCTATCATAGTGAGCAGTCTTAGCCATCTAAGGGTAATGACAAACTCCTATGAATAGAGACTGGTTAACCAAGAATGGGCCGTTTAACCAAACGAGGCAACCTTGCAGTTCTTCAAGGGTCCAGGTCACAAGCTAGTTGAGTTGAACCCTTCTGCAAAACAGTTCAGCTACACATCTGGGAGACTGTATGTCCTTTCACAGTGAGTATCCTTACCCATCTAAGGGTTGCGAATAACTCCTATGAATAGAACTGGTTAGCCAAGGATGGGCCGTTTAACCAAACGAGGCAACCTTGTAGTTCTTCAAAGGTCCAGGTCACAAGCTGGTTGAGTTGAACCCTTCTGCAAAACAGTTCCACTTACACAAGAACTGGATAGACAAGGAATGGCTGTGTACAAGATAAAGACAAACCAAGTCCACCCAGTATTACTTCCAATCACCAGACTACAGTGCAATACTGAGTTGGTAACAAGTTGCAGAGTACTTAAAGTTGTATCTAGTTCTTGAAGCTGTAGACCCACCTGCAGCTTGGATGAGATATACATGAGTTAATCCAAGCCATTGTTGTAGTTCTTGTCAGTGTAGACAAAGGCATCATCCTTTCATCCATTGGAATTCTAGGAAACTGCCGATAAATCAACTACCATGAGTCACAGCACAGGGTCCTAAAGGAACCAGTCTTGCATACAAAGTGAGGTGGAACACACTACATCTTGTCTTGTCACTGCTCTCAGAGTTGGTTGTTAGTTGAATAAACATCAAGTCTGGACCAGCGATGATCATAAAGCCGTTTCAGCCAACTTGTAGAATGGTTTAACGACAAAGAACAATACCACTACACATCTGCTAAGTGCTTCTTGTCTTTTGGATCCATAACAAAGTTACATGGAGCAAGACACCTCCGTAGACCCAGCCAGTCGAGGTTGGTACAGTCATCAGATAACTACAAGGATAAGTCAAACCATCTTCTTTGTAGTACCAATTAGTATTCATCATAGAACAGATCAACCATTACTGCTGACCTGGGCAAGAAGAGACATCTTCCATCTGACTAAAACAAGTTGTTCAATGGACAAACTAGTGCATCAAGACAGTCTATCCATCTGTATAAAACCTTTAACACAGCTACGCTAGTAGACACAGTGGCACATCAAGCACAAAGTGGAACAGCATACAGGTCCATACTTATCTATAAAGGATTAGTATGGAGATGAATCTAAAGGTGGTTGGAAACAAGCTTGCATTTGTTGGTAAACTTGTTAGACATCTTTAAGAAGATGAGGATATCACTGTTATGATTGTCTATAGTGGCCATTAGTGGTGTCAATTAACTGCTTGAGCATTAACCGGTTAACCGGGTATTTTTACCGGTTAAAGTCGGTTAACCGGCGGGAAATTTGAACTGATAATTTCAAATGAAATCGTCATCTTCGATCTTGAAAGTTGAAAAAATTGGAGAAATGATACTAGATATAGTATATCGGCGTTTTTTACGTTCGCGAAGCTTTACTCTATTCAATTCAAACACTACCTGACTACCGGACAGTAACTCTAAATTACTTTACCCTTGGAATCTCCACGAACACACCATAACAACGAGAATTGCAGCTGATTAGTGTTTATTTTAATTTTAATTTTCTCACTACCAAAGCGAGGCTTTGACCTTTGACATTTTGGCGACGTTGATAGACAACAATAATTAACAAAACTGACGAGTTAAAAAATGCATATAATAATATAATAATGGCTGACACTTGAAAAACAAACAGATTATCATGCAAAGTAAGCGCGGGAAAGCAATGTGGCAGGGATTAAAGTTGCTGATTGGATGTTTTTAAGGTGTTATCGTACCTTACTTCCTGTGAAAGCTATTTGGATTTTGATATAATAGCTTTCCCACGGAGCATTTGGACAGCTCAATGATCGTGACCTTTGAAATCGAATTAAGTCGATCCGCGACTTACTTTTGGTCTCTAACTGTGTCCTACATCAGTATCATCAATCCGTGTAAGTATTGTAGCGCTGGAGTACTTCTTTTTCGATCAAGACTTGTAAATTGTTCATCGAGTTAAAGTTTTACAGACCTATTTCCAATATGGCGGTTTCTGCTCGGACATTTTCGTAAATCTCCGGAGGTTGTCCGAACCTAACTAATTCTCAAAATTCATTTCGTTCGTTGCTTATCTCGCACCTAGCAAACCGCCATATTGGAAATAGGTCTGTAAAACTTTAACTCGATGAACAGTTTACAAGTCTTGATCGAAAAAGAAGTACTCCAGCGCTCCAATACTTACACGGATTGATGATACTGATGTAAGACACAGTTAGAGACCAAAAGTAAGCCGCGGATCGACTTAATTCAATTTCAAAGGTCACTATTGATCAGCTGTTCACTTCTCCGTTTGAGAGCCATAAGTTTCAAAATCTAACATGGCTCTCGAAGTGAGTAAATCGTACCTATCACATGTATGAGTAGCTCACATGAAACTGACGCTTGAAAAACAAACAGATTAACATGCAAAGTAAGCGCGGGAAAGCAATGTGGCAGGGATTAAAGTTGCTGATTAGATGTTTGTAAGGAGTTATCAGGCTTATTGTATGACATGTATGAGTAGCTTACGTGAAACGGACACTTTAAAACCAAACAGATTAGCATGCAATATAAGCGCGGGAAATAATAGAATTATACACGGTCAACTAACCACCCATAAAAACACAGACCGGTCAAGGCATTATCGGCGGTTAACCGGTTAATACTTGACACCTCTAGTGGCCATAGCATAACAGAAAGTATTCTACTGCCATCAATGATCAAAGTACTGGTAAGTGTTGTTCCCACAAAGAGCTTGGCTTGGAATGCAACCTTCAATTGTTGTATTCGGCATTGTTGATAAACTAGATCTATTGGATTGTGGTTAGAACATCCATCTGTCCAGGTTGTAAACAGCAAACATCACAGCTAGTGCTGCATATTGACAGAATACTGCAGAAACTCACTGGATCAACAAAATTCTTGGCCTGGAACCAAAAACTTTAAATGTTCTTCGCAGGCTTGCAAAAGACAGACTCGTGGTATCTTCAATGGATAGTACATCTATCTGTCTTAAGAGTATAACAGCATTGAACGTAGAAACTGCTACAAAAGGAAGCACTACTAGTATAGTATGAGAGTATAGTAGTGCTAGATCCACCAAAATCTGTGTCCAAAAACGTAACCTTTAAATTCATCCAGGTTTGTAGTTGGCAGCACTGGTTGACAAGAATAGTCTTTTCTCCCAGGTCTGTCTAAAGCTACCAAGAGCATACATCATGGATGTAGGTGTATTGGAACACTACAGTATGTAGTAAGGTAGTGCTGGATCCACAAAGTCCTTGACTTGGAGCATAACCTTTGTAGATCAAATTTGGCTTGGAGTTGAAACTCTAGTATCAACAGGATATACATCAGGCCCGCATGGTCATCGAAGTACTACTGCATGTGTCTACCAGTCAATGTTGGATCCATACAACACTTGGTCCAAGAAGATTACTTTTCAGTAGTCCTAAGCCAAACTTGCAGTTGCTCAAGGGAAAAAACTATATCATAAAAACATGATAAGTTTATCCAATTGGTAAAACTTCCAGCCCTTTACTTGTTAAATAGTAGTATAAGTACTATGAACTAGTAAAAATATAAAACCAAATGAAGTCTGGACTGGAGTGAAACCTTAAAGCAATCCAGGCCCAAAAAGCCCAAGATTAATTCCACAAATAAGGTAACTTGTAGTTTCTCAATGGAAAAAACGATATCATAAAACATGATTAGTTTATCCAATTGGTTAATTCTACCAGCCTGTTCTAGTTAAGTAGTAGTATACATACTATGAACATGAACTAGTAATAAAATAAGACCAAAAGGAGTCTGGAACTGGAGTGATACCTGAAGGCAATCCAGGCCCAAAGACAACAAAGATGAATTCCACAATAAAAGTGACTCGCATTTTCTCAGGGGAAAATACTATATCAAAAGAAACATGGTCAGTTTATCCAAGTGGTTAAAACTACCATGCTTTTAATAGTTAAATAGTAGTATTAGTACTATGAACATGAACTAGTAAAAATATAAGACCAAATGAAGTCTGGAACTGGAGTTAAACCTTAAGGCAATCCAGGCCCGAAAACCACAAAGGCAACTTTCACAATCAAAGGGATGTGTTTTCAATATTAGATGAAAACCACCTTGTTTG